TTCTTCTTTGCTCGCATACACCGACTCCGTTTTAGCTTGTAAAGTCTTCAGTACCTTTCTACGCCAGTTGACTTCTTCCAGTTGAAATTGTCTGACATGCTCCTGGAATTCTTCTTTGATCCAGACCCAAGTTTCTTGTGGGAATTGCGTGGTTCTCCTGAGCTCAACTTGCGGTTGTAGACCTTGCAAGAAGATTGATTTATCAGAAATAAATAATTTATAAAAAAAAGAGTATGAAATTAAGTAAAGAATATAGTTTATTACAATGAAAATAAGAGGGTTTATATACTATTCGAATTGAGGGATTTGATGTGAAGATAAGGTATTAGATGGGTTGATTTGGGTGATAGGATAATAGATCCAATCCATTATCCTGAACATGCCATGATATGGATCGTAACTGAATCCTGTTTCATGTCAAAGTTTATGATTTGATGTGACCGGTGCTTGAACTGCTTGTTTCTACGCATTAGGAGACCCGGTTTAGAAATGATACATCAGTAGCTAACAATTAACTTCCCCTTATAATAATAAAATTAAAAGACATCTCTCAGTTTATATATTTGTTTAATAAATGCTAATTTTAATGATTGTGCCTTAGATTACATTTGAACAAGAAAGGATTTAGATTGTATTATTATCCATTTGGATACACCTTTATTATTACTGTTGTGCCAGAAGGGCTACAACTGTCTATAAAGATTAAGTTATTCTTGATGGGTAGATATGTCTGTGTTGTGCAACAACATGGACAAGCTATGATAAGTGAAGTGCATCTCAGCTATCTAAATACTGAGGTTCACCAGATGTGATAAGCGTTGTACAAGATAAATTGCTACTTTGGCATTCAGAACTTAGTATAAATAGAATAACTCTTGTCTTCATCAATAAATCTTTAGTTTTTGTGTCTGATCTTATTCAAATAAGTCTTTTCTTGTTTTTATAATATCGAACATTTTTTATAAGCTACAAATAATAATCCTTTTATTCTTTGTGCTTAACAATTACAAAGACAAAAGTTTATTAATACGGCAGGTCAACAGAAAATCAACTAGAAGTAGACCATCGCTGCCTCAACTCTCTAGCCAATCAGATTGCTTGAAAACTCCGCTGACCTAAAAAAAATTTTGCGAGGGTTTCCCCCTGTTTTGATGTGAGGCAAAATTTTAAGCGCCGCTATAATAGCAATATAGCTGCTGCTATCATCAAATTTCCCCCAGGTGCTAGAGCATGCCTTACTTACACCACCTAGCTTTAAATTCAGGCATTGAGACCCTCAATCATCACTAAAGTAAGTAGTGATAACCAAGTGGAGGCAGCCTATCTACCTCCTAGCCTCGGATAAGTTCATGTTGAGCTTCAGGGATAGGCACATCCACACAACGTAAAAAAGGTATGCTTCAAAGAAACATAAAAATAATAAAAAGAAGAAAACAGCATACTACTACTATACAAGTATAGTAGTACGTAGGCAAAAAACGAATACTCACACAAAGTGAGCACTCAAAGAAAAGTATAACAAATACAACATCAGAGACGTTCAGAACAGCTCGTTGTTGTTGCAACAAAAATCCATACATGATGAGCAACATGCATAGTAATAGTCGAATGTAAAGTAACGCAAACACGCACAGCTGCAAAAACAACAGTAGTGTAAGTTTTCACTACAACATAATGACTAACGTTGTCTCATGTGAAGCCACAGAGGCAACGCAACCAGCAAAAGAAGAAGAAAGCGTAACAAAGTAAACATCATGATAAAATGCATTATCACGAGATAGGAAGCAACAATACAAACGTTCAAAGTTATATATCATTCCGACCAGAAGAAAGAAGATACTTACCATTTACCACAACCACAAATAGACCAGAGAATACAAAATCACCAGGTATAGACCAGAGAACGAGCATGCATCAAAGACAGTAGACCAGGAAAAACAGACTAGCAGCAGCAACACCAGCAGCAACACCATCGGCAACACCATCAGCAGCACCATCAGTAGCATTATCAGTAGCACCATTAGCAAGACCATAGAAAGACCAGCAGCAACAACAACAGCATAGAAAAACGAAGAACGGGCGACACCAGAGTCTAGACAAAGTTTAAAGAAGCAACCACCAGAGGTAGAAACCAAAGAAGGAACCGCCAGACGTTAAAAACCAAAGAAGCGGGCAGTAGAGATAGCAGAGAAGTAATGGCAGCAGCACCAATACCAAACAGCCAAAAAAAATATCGAAACATAATAAAGAAATTCAATTATTAGTACTGGTTTTACGTCTTCTAGTGCTCGTTATAGAATGATACCTACTATATTCCACTTCAAAGAAGCAGTGTCGAGTGCTTTTAACAGTACGAGACCGTGTTATCAGAAGCTAGAGTGTTATTATTATCAATCAGACGGTTTCCAAAACCACCATGGTTTGATACTAAGCGCGTTTTGCAGAAAGGGGGAATGGAAAAATGACAGGGCGTTCTATGCGACGTCACGGCCAGTAGCTTTGGTCTCAGTCTTCTGCCGTGGTAGCCGTAATTGCGGCAATCTAATTTGACACTGTGCAGTGATATTTTCGTGTTCAAACTTGACTTGAATTCACATCCTTTAAACGTTTTTGCCAAATTTAACTATGAACACTGTCGTTGTCACATCCAACTTCCTAATACATCTTTGGAGATCTAAAAATGCCGCATCGAATGGTGCTAATTACATTCAGCTCTCTAACCAAAAATAATGAGCAATTTGTAAAAATATGAAAAAAGGTTTTCTGTGAATATGTCAAAATCTAGCATATACAAGTCTCATAGAAACAGTTTCCAATGTTGCATCCCATCTTTAGGATCGATTTAATTTTATATGTGTTATAGAAAAAGTCATCATTTTTTGGGTGAAAAATGCGATCGTTTGGTTTTCAAGAGGTTCCCTTGCTAGTACACGTGAAGATTTCCATGGATTTGCAATGACCCAAACTTTTTTGAGATAAAGCATTAGTAAGTAAAGTGTGGCCAAGAAGAGGCGTTTGACCCTATTCCAAACGTCCACAACGCTTTTTAGCATGAATTATTCGTGCTTCAAAATGACTAAATTTGAGCAGAATTTGACCAAAATTAGATGTAGTAGGTTATGTTGACAAAAAATGAAGCAAGTTAAAGCTCTTTCTGATGTCTTCTCTGATATTCTACATTGTATGGAACTCAACACCTAAACGATCGACGCATGTATTCTAATTCTGAGGCTCAGACCTTTCTTTTTGAAATGCGCGAATAATACAGTAATTTTTGGAATTGGGCATCAGTGATGCTATAAAAATCTGAACCTAACGACTTGCTCAGATTGAACGAGATGCCTATCAGGTTAGCAGGATACATTGAATGGTCGTCTACAACAGAGACATTATACCTAGCTGTAAAACTAAACTTAACATCTATCCACGATGTTCGACAATCATAATTATTAAGAAATGACCGACACCAGACACGCTGAGTCCGTGTCAGCACAATGTGGGGAACAAACAACAAAAGAGCTTATCAAAATCGGCTAAACAAAGATTCATGAAACCTACAGATCCTGTGTTACAAGAGTCAGCATCAACGAACTGCAATGAACATTGCTTCCAGAAAGGTCAGCTCCAGCCAAATTTTTGTTCAAAATTGATCGCTCAAATATATGTTTTCTTTTGTGCGTCAGCGTCAGTCAATACACGCCCTGGATCTATTCGGTAGATTCTGTGAGCACCGTATGGACGTTTCTGTGCTGTTGTTATTAATGAAAGAGGTGCTTTTGCCATTCTAAATTCCAAATTTGTTGGCTGAAAAACCTATTTTTGAAAGAAAATATAGCAGTGGGCGATGTATCATTTCTAAACCGTATCTCTAAATGCGTAGAAACAATCAGTTCAAGCACAAACCACATCAAATCATAAACTTTGACATGAAACACGATTCAGTTACGATCCTAATTATGGCATCATGTTCAGGACAAAAGATTGAATCTATTATCCTATCACCCAAATCATCTCATCTAACACTTCATCCTCACATCAAATCCCTCAGTCGGAATAGTATATAAACCCTCTTATTTCCAATGTAACAAACGATACTCTTTACCTGATGAATCTCATACTCTTGCTTCTAATAATTTATTTCTGATAAATCAGTAGGCACTCAGACGAGGTCTCATTTTGTAGAGCAAACGCAGAAAAGTAAGATTTGGTTAATAGAAAAGAAGCTTTGTTGAATTGGCAGCTACACTGATCATAGCTTTGAATCACAGATTTTTGTATATTGATGCTTCTACGCTTTACCCGCTTTCTTATTTGACAACAAACGTAGAAACTGAAATTCCGTTTATATGTTTAGCAGCCTCTCAAAGTGGGCATATAATAATCGTTCTCTTATAAAACCTCTAGCATCATCATGAGGCATGAAAGAGCAAGCTATCCCTTTTGCTAAAATGTGCAGCACAACTTCCAAACCACAACGAAGCAAGAATTCGCCAAGCGGTATTCACTGCAGTGTTTTCCAACACCTAATCCATTGATTTATAACTCGTACCTACTTTTGACTAACAGCTTTCCATGAATTTTATAAGTAGATCTTTGCTCAAAATTGTCTTATTTCAAAAATCATCCATTTCTGAACAACAGCCCATCTTCCAATGTAAATCCAAATACCCTATCGTTTTCTTCCTCGTAAAATCCTGCTATAGGAGCCTGCTATTTTCAGAGCTCTAGCATGTCTATTTCAAGACTTGATTTTGGACAGTCAAAAGTTAGAATCACACATTGTTTTTAAGCTTGAAAAGTCGGAGAAGAACATTCGGTTTTCTTAGGCAGAAAAGCACACTGCATTACATGCAACAGAAGGATTTCAAAATGATGTTGATACAGAATTTGACATAAAGAATAAGTTTTTATATATTTTCAAAATAAGTGGAGATGTTGTAGTATGTGTGTATTGTGGTGTATGGAAAAAAGTTGTATTATAGGCGTAAATTTTTTTCTTTTTAGTTTCCACCAATCTTTGCAACCTCGCAAATGTTACAAGCTTTTCCTTCAAACTCTGGCTTATAAGAAGCCTTACAGTAACAACATTCTACCTTGGGAGAACCACGATAAATCGGCTCAAAACTTGCCGCACAAACGTCGAAGGGGTTGTATTGATCATAGTCAAAAGCGAGTTCGTCATGTAAAGTGCGCTCACAAACAGACTGGATCTTGCGAGCCTAATTGTGCATGATAGCTTAGTCAGTACCAATTCATATGACACTAATTCAAGATACTATACCTCATCAGCAACAGTTCTAGGTGGAGCAAGTTCAAGTAGTCTTGAAGCAAATTGTGATGCTGTGCTGAAATTCTTTGCTCTAAAGGCTTGCTTCGTAGCTTGACGTAAAGCCAGCTGCATGTGTGGCGTTTGCAACTGACAGTGTGCAAAGTAAGCAGCCAATTCAAGAGCACGCTTCATATCTTCGGGTGTTTGGCCAGTAATTGATCTACGCTTTTGTTCCATTGACAAGCCCAGGAGGTACTCACGGCAGATATCGACCAACTGAACCAACTCATTTGCTTCACCATCGTTGGCTGTCACTGTGAACAGGACAGAGTGCAATAGTAATTTAAAGTGTTGAGCAGCTGCAACCAATTTACCAGAGGTAAAGAGACGGTAAGCCATTTGAAGTTGTGTAGTGACGATGGTTTGGAAATTGTAAACAGCCACAGGCAATGTGCTGCGAGGATTTGAGGCTTCAGGATTACGACGCAAGTTGTAAGTGACGCTAGGGGTGCTAGCAACACCAGCGACAGAGACATGAGCAGCTTGGTAGATGGCCAAGAAGTGAGACTTGAGAGGTTCAAATTTGACGATGCCCTTTTGACGATTGAGGATTTGCATGGCAGTTTCAAATGAGCCAGCAGCAATGTGATCAGCAGCGATACCCGAATTCTGAGCCCACACAGCGTTTTCATTAACGCCTTCTGCAGGAGCAACGAATTCAGCAGTTTCCTTGGCAGCGACATGGCCCATTTCAGCGTCCAATTCAGCCTTGATATCATCATCGTCATCCCAACCACCATCGCCGTTCAAGCCATCATCCTCAAATTCATTGTCGTTGGGTGTACCCAATAGATCATTATCCAAAGCAGGCTTGGAAGAAGAGGCAATACCGAGATCGTCATCATCTCCCCAATCACCACCAGCTTCTTCAATGTTGTCGATTTGATCGTCATAGTTGAAACTAGGAGCGCTGATAGGAGCACCAGGCTTTTGTGATTGTTGTTGTTGTTGTTGTTGCACAAAGGCACCTTCAAAGAAACTCTTGGACACGGTCAACAAGGGCCAGTTGGGATCTTCCAGTTGAGTGACAGGTTTGGGAGGTGAGGGTAATTGATCAGGCATTTCAGGCAATTCAATGTCGGCCTCCGTTTTACCAGCAGCAGCCAAGATAGCTTCGGCTTGTTCAGTCAAACCATGTGTCTTTGCAGTCATGTAAGCTAAAGGCAGTTGACCCACGTCTTGCAACAAGCGAATACGTTCTTCGACATCGCCAAGATAGACAGCATTCTGGAAACGCATTAAGGGGTCCTTTTGGAGCTGAGAAATTTCGAGCATCTTGCGCAAGTTGGTTTCATTGCCTTCCAAGAGATACAAGAACGAGAGCTTGTCCATCTTCTTGGTGCGTTGGTAAGAGAGTTCGACAATCTTGTAGTTACCGTGGCGCAAAGCTTCAGCACCGAGCTTAGACCAGTAGTCAGGCTTATTCATCGACTTTGCAGTCTCGAGAGCGACATCCAAATTACCACATTCAAGAGCGAGTTCGAAGCGAGTCTTGTCGTCTCTGACAAAGTGCAAGGCAATTTCAGGATAACCCTTCTTTTGGAGATAGGCAATGATAGATTGACCCACCAAGTTGGAGGTACGGATGATGTGGAGGACTTCCTCATATTGCTTCTTGACAAGAGCCAACTTGAAACGGTATTCAGTGGGATCAATGACAATTTCACGGACTTTACCATCACGATCCAGAGCATAGAGCTTCTTTCCCTTGATGCGAGTCAAGTAGATGGGTTGATCCAAGGTGCGCACAATGCCATTATCACCTTGAGGCAAGGCGTACTTGATGTGGTTCAAGGTGCAGTAGATCAAGACACCAGAATCGTCCCAGGTAGCACTCTTGATACGGATTGTTTCGTGGATTTGACTGGTCTGCTTCAAGTCCTTGGTGGCAATGGTGATAGTGTGCTTACTCAAGAGAGCAAGCATGGACATGTCAGTAGACCACACAATGTACTTGACGTTGGAGACAGTCAATTCAGCAATGACACGGCGTTGTTGAATGTCAAAGAGGATGACAGAGGTAGGCGTGGCCATCAAGAGGGAGCCAGGGCCAGCATAGTAAATGTCAGTAACTTGACCAGGCGTCTTGAAAGACTTGGTTTCTTTGTTTTGGAGATCACGGATTTGAATGACTTGGTTGGTCTTGTCAAAGACGGCAAAACGGTTACGAGCAATAAAGAGAGCAGCATGGCCAACACCTTTCATGGACTCATCAGAAGGTTCTTGCAGGGTACCGCCCAAGTTCTTGGGAAGACGATACAGCTCATAAGATCCACCTTCATAAGGCGATGTCAGCAAAATAGCTCTTTCAGCAGGATTGTAGGATAGGGTGCGAGGCGCAACAAATTGGGAGCCTAGTTTGCGAACAGACATGACCTCTTGGTCAGCCGTGCTAGGGAAATCATGGATATGCAAAACACTGTGCTTGATATAATAAAGCTCATTGCTGTGGACCTGGAAAGCAGGACGCTCGCGTTCAAGCTTAAAGACGATCAAACCACTATCGTGACCAGCAGCAAACAGATTGAGTTCAGGATGCGATGTCAAGACCCAGAAACGATCGTGATCTCTTCTAAACGTGGCGACAGCAGTTCGCTTGGTCAAATCCCACACACGAATGGTCTTGTCTTCACTGTCAGATAAGATGAGATCTTGGCGAGGATGGAAAATAGCGCTAGAGACATTGTTGTAATGACCACGACAACTATCCACTTCCCAAGCCTTGGTGTCTAATGGAGGATAGTCGGGTTATTCACTGTGTGTCATTGAATCACATGTTTCCTATCATTACCATTCATTCTCCAGAGCTTGACTTGACGATCATCACCAGCAGAGATGATCAATGGAAGCGTGGGATGGAAAGAAGCCCAATTCACACCATGATCATGACCCTCCAACACATACTTGACCATCACATCAGTTGTGCCAAACATATCGCCACCAGGTCCAGGTCTTCCCATATCATCCATTGTCATGGCACTAGGAGCTTGAGACTTTTTGCGCAAGCCTACATGTTGTTTGGTTGTAAGTTGAGTGTGTAGTAAGCGCTAAGCAGATACTTACCAGTGATATCCCATACACGGACAGTTTGATCCATAGAAGCAGAGACAATCAAGTCAGTCTTGGGATGGAACTGAGCGCACATGACATAGTGATTATGGCCTGTCAAGATGGCAATACAAGCTCTCGATTGCCAGTTCCAAATACGAATCGTTTGATCATCAGAGGCTGAAATAATCCAAGGCAATTCATTGTGGAAAAACACAGTACGCACATAATCCAAATGGCCGTTCAAGGTGAAGAGACAGCGACGAGTTTTGTAGTTCCATACTTTGATCTTGTAATCATCACCACCAGAGACGAACAGAGGCTGAGTAGGGTGGAAAGAGATGCCTCTTACAGGTCCTATTAGGTTGCTATTTGAGTCATGCTGTCATTTTGCTGTTGGATGCATCTATAATGTATTACCATCATGCTCTTCGAAACGTTCGAGCAATGTGCCCATACGGTAATCCCACAGCTGAATGCAACCGTTGTGAAGAGAAGCTAAAATCCAAGGACGCTTGGGATGAAAAGCAACACCTTTAACGCGGTTGCTTTTAGACTCGAACTAGATGTTGTGTCTGTGTGAGTGCAGTGGTTCTTGTGTGTGCCACTGTTCTTCAAGCCTACCTTTGTGAGCATTTGCATGTTGAAATCGATTATTCAATAAACTACAAGAAGAGAGGGTCAACAGGATATTTGGCGCGTTTTTATTTGATATCAGAAATTACCCAAAAACTAGAAAAACCAAATGTTGACTTTTGTACTCTATACAAGGTATGTTTAGTCAACGGTTGAGTATCTTTCTCGGTAGATGAGGTTTACATGAGTAACACAGGTAGATTCAACTGAACGTTTTTTAGAGTTTCAAGAGGAAAAAACAAGTTACAGGTTATCAGAATAAAGACGAAAGCAATCTCATGTAATTGAATTGGGATTAAATGATCATTCAACGGAGCCCTAATCCCCTCCAAAAGGCCCACAGAGTGTTGCACATTCATCATTGAATCATTGGCCAACAACAGTGCCTTGAGTGACGTGTCAAAGCAGCTGCAATGTGTTTATTGCATAGTAGTAAAGCGCATAACATGGAAGCATACAATGTATTATATCATAGCAGGGAGGAAGAAGGCATAGTGTTCAAACGGGAAAAAATATCTCATCTTAAATAAGGACAGATCATGGTAGAATGGCCGTATTTGCCACACCAGGTGCTAAGTAATAGTAGAGAGAGAGAGAGAGAGAGGCATGTAGGAAATATGATTAGACATTGAAATTAGCATTTACACAAACTGACTGATTTCCTACCATTGACCACCTTCCAAATTGAGTGGTTTGACAACCGCAGCATCTCGCTTGATGGATAAGGCATCATAGTGATGTGTGTTTGAGCTTTTCTCTACCGTAACCACTTTGATGGCTATATTAACCGCAGGTGGCATCTTATAAAGGAAGCAAAAAGGACAAACAAAAAGATGTAGTGTAAAGGAGAACAAGATTGCATGTAAGCTAAATCTTAAATAAAGCAAGAAAATGCTGTCAATTGACATTGTTTTAAACAAGTAGACGGCCTGCTGTCATGCCTTCCTCTCTTGGGATCCGTACAGAATACACAATAGAGAGAGAACCTCTTTCTCTGACTTTAGAAATGTGGCGTTCCAAGCAATCGATGCAGAATCCATGTAATGAGAATGTTGTATAAGAAATTTACAGACAGGGCTTTATTATTATACATAGTTTGTGGTAGAGTATGGTCTCGTTATTTGATGGTGATGATGTTGTTGTAGGTTCCCTTGTTCTGGATGGTCTGGACGTGGCTCTTGATGACGGTGATATGAATAATAGGTGGGCTGCTGCTGCTGAGGATGAGGGCTTGTCTGATGTCGCATGTATTTGCTGTTGTTATTCAAATGCTGTTCCTCCTCCTCCTCCTCCTCTCTTTGTCTCTTGCTGTTGGCTTTAAGGATTTGATTGGTTGGTACAGGGGATGGAGTGGGAGCAGCATCATTCGTGGTTCTGCCAGACAGAAAGCATGTCAGTGATTCCAGCTGGCTGAAAAGATGCTGTTGCTCTTGCTGGTCTTGGTCCTCTTTAACATCCACATTGAACACTTGCAATCGTTCAAATGGCGGATCATCCAGCTTCATGTGAGGGAATTGATTGATGAGATTGTGTAACGTGCTTTGACCCAAATAATGAGACTCGGCTAGCTCATTTGCATACTCTTCAGGATCAAAAGAGTACTGCCGAAACGTAATAGGGATCCTGTTGCTCCGTTGTAGCACGGCTAGATTACCTGCAAACACGCCCAAATGATGCACCAGTTGTCTCAGGTTGCTCAACGATGTCTTCATGTGAACATGCTTTACCGAGTGTGCGAATTGATCAAATACCATAAAATAGCCTGTCCAGGTCAGGGGCAGGTGGATCATTTTCAATGACAAGATGCCATAATGACGAGTAATGCGTGGTACAATGCATTTGATAAACCTGTCCGTAATGCGTCCATCAGCAACAGGAAACAGTAAATCGCTGGTCCATATTTCAGGCGTCTTGTAGACCAAATCTCGTAGTCTTGTATGACTATCGCCGAGTGCTAACAGATCCTTTAATTCTAGATTTAATGTCACCTGAGTGAGAATTTGATCAGGTAAAGATAAAAGACTCATTTCTTTCTTTGTGGGTTTGCAAGATTTGTAGCGAATAGTTGATGGAATAGATGCTAATGCGTAAAGAGAAACAGTAATTGATCTTGGTTGCAAATGTAAAAAAGGAGGAAAAGAAAAAGATTTAAAAAAAAATAAAAAAAAAAAAGAGGGAGAGAATTAGTGAAAAAGATTTTCTTACGCAATCCAACAACAAACAAAATCATAGACTCTTTGGTTGCCCTCTCCTAAAATGCTGGTTGCTGCTCCAGGCCTTGAGTAACCATACAACATCTCAGTATAGAAATCTTAAATACCCTACATGCAGTGGCAGTGCTGCTGAAAACAGTAATGCCAATTTGCATTTTCCCTGTTTCAAGCTGTGATCCGGTTGATTTTCTTTGCGAATCAGAGAGATTAAATGCAGAATGATGCTGTTGGCACGCAATCTTGTCCAGTCCTTTATGTATGGGCTTGTATGAGCAGTACAGATGCTCGGGTCATTCCATATACAAGTATGAACCGGATCTAGCAAAGTTTGTTGCAGTTGCTGCCGCAGTTACGATATGGGATCTTGTACACTTTCGTCAGAATCTATTCTTGGATTTATTGACGAATATCCTCTAGATAAATTAGTTTCGCTGACTTACTACCTTAGAGATACAAAAAGCAGCTCACATAGACACAGTCCAAGTATAAACATTCTTTTGATCTTGACTTTATCGTATCAATGGACTAGCCGATCTATTGGGTACGCTCGATGTCGGCGTCGCCCTGTGGGCTCTCGCCAAAGACATTTTAAATCAGATATAATAAAATTTTGGTATATCAAGTAGATTTTAAGCAATTGATTATTCGTAAAAGAAAGGTTATATCAGAGCCAGGAGGAGGAGAGGAGGTATCTCTCTGAACACCCTTTTTGCTTACACTGATATCAAACGAAGCCTATTATTGGGACAATATGAAAGAAAATTCAAGTTTTATGCAGGATTTGTTCATCATAATCGCCATTTTCTGATAATAGAATTGGCATATCATTTGCTGCTGCTGATGCTCTTAATAAAATGGCGACATAAAGCTGATCATAAGTAAATATAGGACTTGTGTAAGATCTGCAGCGATTTTTTCGAGATAGTGTCATTGCAAAAGACACTTTCATGAGGCAAAGCTTTCCAAAAAAAAAAGTATTCAAGCTAAGCGATTGTTCTTTCAATTCCATGATCCCCATTTAATCAGCATCGCAATCATCATTGTCATTAACAGAGAGGCAGTTAGGTCAGCCAGCAACAATGCCACCGCCAAAATTGATTCAAACTCAGGCTGTTTTTTTTTCTGTTCAAGATTGGACAGATTGCGTCTTTTTTCGACTTCTTTCATCTATTTTGTGATAGTCGACTATATAAACTGTGATGATCACCCTACGCTTCCTAATACATTTTTGAAGTACTTTTCAAGGCGCTTCCAATGGTGATGGTTGTAATAAGTGTTTTGACTGAACTTAGTGAGCAATTTAATAAAAATTGAAATGAGGTTTTTAGCGAAAATAACCATATTTTGTATATGAAAGCCTCATAAAAGTGGTTTCAGAGGTTGCTTTGGATCGAGAGAAACATTTTGATTTGATATATACTATAGCAAAACTCTTCATTTTCAAGGTGGAAAATGCGATCGTTTGATTTTCGATGAATTTTTTTTTTTTTTTGGATGATATTATTTTATTAGAATAGTAATTAGAAATAAAACAAATGCATCAAAGAGATGGACAAGTGTATGGAGACAAAGTGACTTGCCATATATAAATCTTGAATAATAAACTAATGGGAGAGTTGCCTAAGATTTGACAATCTTAACAGTTCTGTGCGGATGTGGAGACAGACTTGGATGGCATTAAAGGGGATGAGGTTGTAAAACTGTTGATAATGGTGTCTCCAGATAGTACGCATAATGGTGGCAAAGAGGTCATATATGGTGATGTGTAAGTCATAATTGTAGATATAGTAATGCTTCAGTTTGAAGTGCATAATTGAGTTGTAGATAAGTTGTGGATCGGCGGTTTTGGGGTGGCTAAGGAACTCGTTGAAGGAGGAGTCCCAGACATCAAGTTTATGGACGCAACTGATGAGCAGGTGTTGAGCGTCTTCCACTTCATTGCAAAGGGTACAGCGATCTGATGCAGCATGTTTAAGATTGCGTTGGGCCATTGCCAGTTGATTTGAGCTTTGTTTGTGGATCATTCTGTACTGTGGAATACATCCACTCTGATCTGCATTCCGACAGTTCCTCCAGTTACCAGATTTAGATATAAACTGTATGTACGCTGGATTAGATGTACGATATCGATTTATACTATAAGAAGATATGGACTTCAGATACGCTAGTACTATAAGATTCATACTATATAAGATATAGGCTATAGATGGCACCACGGACATGGATGGCACTATAGACTTATACTTGTATTCCGACATTGACTACGGATGTTTACCATATCTGGATAGGCACCAAGATTAATGCAATATGAGCTTGTTGCTTCAGATGTGCACTTCATGATCCACGCTATAAGACACATGCTTATATCCGTGATACTAGCTACAGATACGTTATGTACTACAGACTTGTACTATATATGAGACATGCTATAGACATGCATACGATATGCTATAGACATGCCATATATCCAGATACATGCTAAAGATGTATGCTTAGCGATATACACTCAGATATGTACTATTGATATAGACTAAGAAGACTGTACCTATCGGATACATGCTACTAGATCGATATTAATTATCCTTATGGAAAGGATAGATCAGGGTACTTCGGATGAGAGTCTAATTATTCATCCAGACAGAGCTAAATCATGATTAGCTTGCTGGAGTTGTCTTTTAGCATGATTAGACATTAGTTGATCTGAGTTGACTTATTTGTCAATCTAATTAATAGAACTTTTATCCATTGTTATAGTATATAAGAAGGATCATCTACCTGGCCAGTAGAGAGACTTCAGTTTACTTTACACCTGTCAGTTTGATAATAAAACATACCTTTATCAAGTTGACATTACTGTTTTTTTTATTCTTTTTTTTCCGTGAATTTTAGTCTATCAAGCCTCAAATTCCACAGGATGGAAGATGGATGAAAAAAATCTCTATACCCTTATGTGCATTTATTACCATCTTATGCTATCAACTTATCATATTAACGCACTTAAATCTCTTACTATAAGAGTTATAGAAGGCAGTGACGATGTTTCCGTTGAACATTTACAGAATTTTATCCAGCATCCTATCAATGTTCTTCCCAAGTGCTTGAAAAAAGAATATTTATAACATTTTTTTAACCATAAGTTTGGCCAAATTATTTGTAAAAGCTGGGCAAATTATTTTGAAGAACTTGGGCAAATTAATTCAAATATTTGGACAAACTAATTTTTATTACTGGGAAATTCTACTTCAAAAAAGTGCGCGGATTTTTCAAACATTCGGTAAATTGAGACTGGAAGCACAGTACCTGAATCCAAATGTAAATATTTGCCCATCAATTCAACTCATTCGCAATGTGTGGAAAAAAGCATCTGTCAGCATAATTCATTGGGGCCATTTGTAAAAGTATTTTAGACGGAGACGATCTCCCTCTCCTCTTTTTCATTTTGCAATTACAACTGTATATCCAACATGACAGAATACAAACCATTTCCACTAGCATCCAAGGTGACTGAAATCATTAAATCTATCTACAACATTGAATCAGATAAGGAAGCCTGTCAACCTCACATTGTTCGAGAGTTTTTCGATAAAGCAGCCGAGCAAATTGAGACTTCCCCTGTAGAGAAGGAGGATCGTGAAATCACTTACAATAACATCAAGGTCAATATTTCTATTTTGCGTCCTGTTGGATCCAAGGACAAGGTGTTGCCTGTCATTCTGTTTCTGTAAGTTTTCATAGCCAAGATGGTTAGTGTCCTGTATTGACAATGAATGATATAGACATGGTGGAGGATGGGTCTTTGGAGGCTACAATAGTCATAAAATTCTCACAAATGAGGTACAGTCTAATCAACATTGGATAATGCGTATTATCCCCTTTTTGAGGTATCCATAGTAACACAATGCGACTTTATAGTTGGTGAATTTGGTGCCTGCTTGTGTTATTTTCGTGCATTACTCATTGAGTCCAGAGGTGAAATATCCAGTTGCATTGGAAGAATGTTATGCGACTCTTTGCTGGATCCAGGAAAATGCCTCTTCACTCCATGTCGATGCCAACCGTTTGGCTGTATCTGGAGACTCGGCTGGTGGTAATCTATCTGCTGCCCTGACAAGTAAATATAAAGAACATGTCAATCAAAGCATTTATACTCACTTTGTGTTTACATAGTCCTAGCCAAAAGCCGTCAAAACAAGGGCATCTCCTATCAAATTCTCTATTATCCAGTGCTTGGTGTTGATTTTTACAATGAATCCTACACTCAAAACAAAGATAACGTGTTCTTGCCTCGCACTACAATGCAGTATGTATGGGATGCTTACACAACAAGCATAGATCAACATACTGTGCCTACGGTGGTACCCATGTCAGCCTCAACAGAAGTATTGCAAGATCTACCACCCGCGCTCATCATTACTGCAGAGTCTGACGTGCTGAGATCTGAAGGAGAAGCCTACGCCAAAAAGTTGAATCAAGCTGGTGTAGATGCGATTTGCGTTAGATACAACAGCATTGGTCATGGATTTGTCTCGATGCCTGTTTTGAGACCTCAAGGAGTTGCTGCTATTGCTCAAACGGTAGATTTATTGAAGAAACACTGGAGTTCTGATTCTAGACTATAAATTTGAAATAAAATCTGTACTTAACAGTGCCTATATGATTCGAATGATTCCTTAACTTTGCTTCGCTGCTGTGAGAATCAATCTACAAGGCGGCACCCCATTGTCGATCGCGTTCGTTAAGCTCACTGAATTAGCATAAATTTAACCACTATTTCGCTGATATAGACATTTTAATTTTCACCTATCAAGGGAGAGCCCTCCATAAGCTGTGGACTTGATTATTTTACGAAGCATCATAATTGTATCAATGGAACCAGATCATGTACAGGCAGACATCATACTTGCACCGAGGCTTACTACGCAAAAATGTGCAATGAACAGCGAATTGGGTGCATTTGAGACGTGATTTTTCCTGTTAGAAGCCGTTTTAGACCACCAGAATAGCACCAAACAATTGCTCTCAGCTAGCACTAACTTTCTGACACCTTTGCTCAACTTTTTTGGGATTGCCAGAAATCAACCAAAAAAACATGAGGGATACCTCATGAATTTCATCGAAAATCAAACGATCGTGTTTTTGACCATCAAAATAAAGACTTTTACTATAGCATATTAAATTAAAATGTTGCTAATAGTCCAAAGGATCCCCAGAAACTTCATTTGTGCAACCTTCATATGTAAATTTTTGACATTTCTGCAAAAAACCACGTTCCATGTTTTTCAAAATTGCTCCATAGGTTTGTTCAAAATATCTCTTTTAATTTATACCGTTGGATGCGGCTTGGAAAGTACTTTATGAAAGCTAAGCGGTGCATGGTGCGATCGTCACCGTTTATATAGCTAGTTTTGGTTAAATAGGTCGAATCAAGTCCAAAAAGCTTGAAAATTAACAAATAAAAGGCAGAATGACAAGCGGCAATTCAATAGTTTTTGGCTTCTGCAAAATCACTGCCACTCTCATTTTGAAGGTAATAGATGCCTTTGAAAGCTCAGGAAGAGGGAGTTGCGTATTGGAAAGTATTAAGATATAGCTCATGTTAATAATTGCTTCATATAATGATGCTGGTTAGCTTGCCTTACCATTAAAATGCTCAGAAGCTCAACCTCTCTATTAAGCTTCGAAAGCGACGCCTACCAATCATGCCAACATAACATGCCAGAGGAGGAGGGGACGGGTGATTTGGCTTTTAAAATGAGCACAAATGCACAGACACGGTTCATATTGAATAAAGGTATTTCATACTTGCAACGATGTTCTCGCTTGGTCAGAGTGTTGGCTTATCTCGATGGCCTATGAAAGCAACATCCGTCGGGGTCCATAAAATCCAAAGCAACATAATATTTCTTGCAACACGACAACAGCAGCATCTTTCTTTTACCACGCTCAAAAACAAAATGATCAACCCTCTTGACGACCCTTCAGTTGAATCTTTCCTTATACCAGGAGCTCGGGTATACGACAGATACTTTAACTGCCCCCTTGGTAAGTCATTATGTATTCTAGACATCTCCAACCTACATCTCACACCATCCACTTTTTTTTTTTTTTTTTTTTTTTTTGCAATCATAGATTATGCCAATGAAGACACCAGCCCTAAAATCAAGGTTTTCGCCAGACATTTGGTACCTGTAGATAAGGTCTCTTCAATCAAGAAGATGCCCTTCTTTCTCTATTTACAGGTAAGCTTTGGATCTGCAAGTAATGAAAGAGTGGTGTTTGTGGTACTCATATCATGGGCTCGCAGGGAGGCCCAGGTTTTGAATGTGCCTTGCCTGGAAGCGGAACTTCAGGTTGGATCAAAGTTGCATTTGAGAAAGGATACCAGGTGCTCTTGCTAGACCAACGTGGTACTGGATTCTCATCTCAAGTCTCTGCAGAAGCTTTGGATGAGAAGTTCAAAACTGATGAGGAGAAGGCTGATTATTTGACTCATTTCCGTGCGGACAGTATTGTCAGAGATTGCGAGACGATTCGTAAGCAATTGACAGCTGGTAGATCTTCCACTGAGGATGAAGAAACCCGCATTACTTTGTTGGGTCAAAGCTTTGGTGGCTTCTGTATTACTACCTATTTGTCTCTATTGTAAGTGTAAAGAAAGCGTATTTATCATGACATGAGCAGCTGAATGTGCCTTTTCAATTAGCCCACAATCCATCAAGAGCGCGTTTATCACTGGTGGTGTCCCTCCTCTTGTGGATAATCCTGACAAGGTCTATAGAGGATTGTATCCTCGTATACTGAAGAACAACAAGCTCTATTACAAGCGATTCCCCAAGGATGTTGCTCGTGTACGTCAAATCCACGAATACTTGAGCAAAAACCAAGTAACACTTCCAAACGGAGGTACACTCTCTGTACGTAGGTTCCTTCAATTGGGCATCGCTTTCGGTGGATCTGGAGGCTACGACTCTGTGCATAGCCTTGTTCAAAATGCCTCTCATGATCTCGACTGTATTGGCAAACTGTCTTACCGTACTCTGAGCAAAATTCAAGAATCGCAAGGCTGGGACACCAATGTCATTTACGCCATTCTCCATGAATCCATTTACTGTCAAGCAAATCAATCCAGTCGCTGGTCTGCTGAACGTGTGTTGCAAGAAGAGCCCTTTGCCTCCGAGTTTGAATGGCGTCTTGAGAACTTGAAGCAAGATCAACCCATCTACTTTACTGGCGAGACAATCTATCCCTTCATGCTAGATGATTTCGCAGAATTGAGACCTTTGAAGGGGGTGGCAAACTTATTGGCTGAAAAGAAATGGGGTCAATTGTATGATGCAAAGGCTTTGAATCAGTTGGAGGGACCTCAAGTCGCTGGTGTGAGTTATTTTGATGACATGTAAGTTTTTAGGGCAACTGCTTGCGTTTAAATGCTAATGGAGTGACCATGAGGGTATAGGTATGTTGATCGTGAATTGTCTGAACACACTGCCAGTGAAATTAATGGTTTCCAACAATGGATTACAAATGAATACGCTCACAAGTAAGTTCATTTTTCTTGGCATTGTGATGAGGTAGTTGACTCTTTTTTTTTTCAATATGTTTAGTGGTCTTCATGCTGACGGCGAAAGAGTGTTGAGCTACTTGATGAAACTTGCAAGAGGCGATGAAGCATATAACCGATAAATGCCTTACGTCTGTCTATGATTACAGTAATCAGGCTAGTATGAACATTCGAATAAAACCTGGATCTACCTGGAGTTTGAAAGTAGTTTTGCGCAGGATCGTCTTTTGAGGAGTTATTACCGGGAGAAGTGTAGCCATATATATCAGCAATCACCGAGAATTCTTGAACATGTCTTGCTTTGGTAAGCTCTAGTACGCTTCATTGGTTCCAAAGTTGTACGAAGAGCTTGCTTTATAAGTAAAATGAAGTCGGAATACTGTCCATATGATAGTGGTTAGTATTGAAAAGTTTCCTTTTCCAAACATTTAGTATCTTGAATTCGAATTTCATGTAATACAGAGTGTACAGTAGTAACGGTTTATGGTGAGCATTGCATTCGCTAGTACACATCAAATGTTTTGTCCTGAGCTGCAGCTAAATCAGCCGTCTGCAGAATCCGAGGATAGGTTAGAACAGTGCCCTTTTATTTATAAAGAGCGGAAGTTATTGAGCAGTGTGAGAAAAAAGCTGGGATCGTATAAACAAAAGAAATGAATAGCTTATCATTTGATAAACATGCTGAATCCTTCATATACTCAAATTGAATCCGATTATACATCTTGTAGATGCAAAGTGCTATCAATATCACCTGGGTTACAACAAAAGTAAAATGCTACAAGGGATCCAAAACATACGTTTTAGGCAATGAAGCCGAAATTGCACTATTGTAATTAGCCCTGTCAGACAAAAACGTTTGGATAGACTTGTTGCACAAATCATGTGTAACAATACGGAATACCTTATCTTGAGAAAGAACCCTGAATCGACTTCTCCCAGCCAATGATGGGCGGGCGTTCCATGGAACGTGAGCTCCAATGGTGTTCCCCCCTCTGTCGCAAATGCACTTATCAATCATCATGTTATTGCACATTATAACGCAAGGTCATACAATCAAATCGTAAAAAATGCCACTTTATGTTCTTTGCTTCAGCCTGCCTAAGAGAGCAGGAGATTGTGAATCTCTTGGGAAAATATACCAGGTATAAAGGATTGGGATTCTCTATCAACTTTGATTTAATGATAACAAATGATTTAATATTGTTTTTTGCTTTGTTCAATTGATGTACAGCAAGGATCAGCACCAATAATCCCGCAAGCGACATATGCTAAGATCAAAATTACTACTCCTTCTTGAGCTGCATCTCAAATTGACAGTTGTCCATCATCGACAATAACCCACTACTAAATGGAATGCCATTTCTTTGGATAGATTTGCAACAGAGGCGTGAGAAAGTAGGATGCTACCTGTAACTCTAAAGACGATTTACAAATTTCATCGTCAGATATTTCGGGTTAGAATTGCTTATTTTGAACAGGATTTCCTTATTGTACTTAATTTCATTAGATGCAGAGTGACACAGCATGCAAACTTATATTCACACTTATCACCATGGTTTCCCGGGCTTATCATGCTCCTCGTTTATCTTTTGTGTGTGTGTGTGTGTGTGCCCTGGCGTCTATAAAATGTCAAGTGTGTTTGGTGTTGCTTCCTTCTTCTCTCTCTCTTTCTCTTCTTCCTTGTCTGTCAAGATGGACCATCAACATCACCCCCAAGAGACGACGACGTCCATAGCGTCGTCATCTTCATCCTCTGATAAAAAAGTGGATTTATCACCACCTGCTTCTACTCCTTCTGCTGTTGCTGTTACTGATGTCCAGCACGATGAGAAACACATGCAGCAAAGCTACATGTTTGATAAAATGGGAGCTGAAGAAGCAACAGATTATGAGCCTGCTGAGGTGCAGGATGGAATCGAGTCTGGATCAACAAAGCCAAAGCCATCTATTTATGCTAGATACCGCAAATTCTTTCAGTAAGTCTGTAAATCAGCTATGTCTGAACCCGTTATACCAACATTTGTCATTAGTTTAGCCATGTGGCTTGTCTTTACAGGCTTTCTCAGCGCAGCTTTTGCCTTACAAGTGCCCAAAGGATACAGCCAAGAGAATTTGGTGTTGGGTCTGATCTATGCCTATTTCACACTGTATTTGTTCTTTTGCTGGGTTCCTCCAACCATCGTTACCAAACCATGGATGTTCTGTCAACGCAAAGTCGCTTCCTTCATCTATAGCAACATGAGCAAAAGAACCAGAACAATTGCTTATGGTGCTTTAGTCATGGCTGTCATTATAGCTACTGTGTTTTCATTCCCTGAAAAAGAGGAATCGCCTCGTGTGCGTCGTTTGATTTCACTCTTTGGTATGATTGTATTTATTGTCGGCACTTGGTTGGCATCCAAGGTAAGTCGCATTCATCAGAACCCGCAAATTATATCACCAACACCAGTAGTGTAGCATCGTAGACATGTCCCTTGGAACACTGTATCCACTGCACTGTTGATTCAATTTTTGCTGGCTCTCTTTGTGTTTAGATCCGGCGCAGGTCATGATATTTTCAGCTGGCTCGCTTCATTTGCTCAAACTTACTTGAGCAAGGCCAACTATGGTGCTGCCTTTGTATTTGGTGAAGATGTTGCTGCGTCACATGTGTTTGCCGTCAGTGTTTTCCCTGCCATCATCTTCTTTGCTGCTACTGTGCAAATGCTGTATTATGTTGGCACCATTCCATGGCTTCTGAAGAAGCTGTCTGTTGTGTGTATGGCTGTTTTGGACGTCTCTGGTGCTGAATCCATTGTTGCTATTGCATCTCCTTTCCTTGGTCAAAGTGAAAATGCCTTGTTGATTGAACCCTTGATGCCTCATTTGACCAAGTCTGAATTCCATCAAGTCATGACCTGTGGTTTTGCCACCATCTCAGGATCTACATTATATGGCTATATGGCCATGGGTGTCTCTGGTCAAGCCTTGCTGACATCGTGTGTCATGTCAATTCCTTGCTCCATTGCCATCAGTAAGATTTACTACCCGGAAACTGAGAAATCTGTGGTTGCCAAAGTGAATGAAATCCACACGGATAATGAGACGACTAATATTGTGCACGCTGCTGGTAAGGGTGCTAGTGTTGGTATCAATATTGTCTTTTTGATCATGGCCAATTTGATTGCCATCTTGGCTCTCTTGTATGCCGTTAATGCGTTCTTGACCTGGCTCGGTAACTTCATTACCATTCAAGAGTTGACATTGCAATTGATTACTGGTTATATCTTTGTACCTGTAAGTTTTAGATATCTCGTCTTTTATGAAACGATGCAACATGTACTGACACATAGCTTGTATCTGTAGATTGCATGGCTCATTGGTGCTGATGACAAAGATCTAGTATCAGTTGGTAGATTGATGGCCACCAAGATTTGGGCTAATGAGTTTGTTGCCTACCAAGCTTTGACAACCACCTACAAGGGAACTTTGTCTGCCAGATCTGAATTAGTGGCTACATATGCTTTGTGTGGTTTTGCGAATTTGGGCTCTGTTGGTATGCAAGTGGGTGTTTTGGGTGCAATGGCACCGACAAGAGCTGGTGAAATTTCTGCCTTAGCCATCTCTGCATTAATTTGCGGCTCTATGAGTACATGGTTGTCCGCCTCTATTGCTGGCATGCTGGTCTAAAAAATAGACTGCCCTTCTCATATCTCTTTATACCGTAATATCAAGCTTAATTCTATCTATTAATTCAAAGTATGCTTTAACATACACGAAATCATTCATTTTAATACGCATTTTTATAAAATTATTATTTTATCAAAACAATTCACAAAGTAACCCCCCTCCTTTTTTTTAAGCCATAGCACTGCATATTCTGTCTCTACACGTTCTGGCAATATTACAGAGTATATTCTTTACTAGCCGATCCATCTCGCTACGCTCGATGACGGCGTCGCCCTGCGGGCTCTCACCGAAGACATTTCAAATCAGAAGAGATAATAAAACTCTGCTATAAAAGTACATTTTAAACAATGACTATATTAGGCATGAAGCCTGATTTAAACGTCAGAAATTTGGAGGTACAAATCAATATTTTTTATGAAGCATTTACGTTATATTATTATAAGACTTCTGGTTTACTACATCCTCCGTCCGAGTTGCATTTTCTGGCGGCAGAACTGTGATACCATTCGCGGATGCTGCTCTTGAGATGGCGACACAGAGCTGGCCATGCGTAAACACAGGACTTTTATGAGATCTACAGCGATTTTTTTGAGAGGTTATCATTGCAAAAGACACCTATATAGGGAAAAACTCGCAAAACAACCAAATAAAAAAGGATTCAAGCTAATCGATTGTTCTTTCAAATTCATGATCCCCAATTAATCAGCATCGCAATCATCATTGCCATCAACAGAAAGGCATTTTGGTCAGCCAGCAGCAATGCCGCCGCCAAAATTGATTCACACTCAGATTTTTTTTTTCTGTTCAAGATTGGACAGATTTTGGCTTTTTTCGACTTCTTTCATCTATTTTATGACATTCGACTATATAATCTGTAATGATCATCCTACGCATCCTAATACACTCTAGGAGTACTTTTCAAGGCGCTTCTAACGATGCCAAGTAAAATAGATGTTTTGACTGAATTTAATGAGCAATTCCAAAAAATCTGAAATAAGGTTTTTGGCCAAAATGTCGAAATTTTGCATATAAAGACCTCATAAAAATGGTTTCAAAAGTTGCTTTGGGTTGAGAGAAACATTTTGATTTATTATGTACCATAGTAAAAGTCTTCATTTTCAAGGTGAAAAACGTGATCGTTTGGTTTTCGATGAAAATCATGAGGTACCCCTCATGCTTTTTGATCGATTTTTGACCATGTTTTTTTGGTCCCCAAAAAGTTGAGCAAAAGTGTCAGAAAGTAACTGCCAGATGAGAGCAACCATTTGGGGCTATTCTGACAATCTAAAACAGCTTTGAACGCAAGAAAACGCAGCTCAAATGCACTTAGATTTTGCTGTATCAGGGACACTAATGACTAAAAAGAGGAAATATTAGTATGCTGCTTGCCCGTATATGAAGTAGCTACGTGTAAATGGATGTAGAGCATCACATAAGAACCAGATTTACAGATAATATGAAGGGCTTTCATGTATAAGTGGAGGGTTAAAATGAAAGTAGCAGTATTTTGATAAGCTACGCAAGGACAATCGGTAGTGCGAGCTGCCGCTGCATAGGTTGGTTCTCACTGAAGCGAAGCGAAGGTAGAAAACCATCCACAGCATAAACACTGGTATTTATAATGGGATCGATTGGTTTTTATGCTAAAAGCAGCTTGATTTGATTTGAATCTAGCAAGTGCAATGAAAAGTTATGGCTTGCATTTCGTCTGTTTGCGGAGCAAATTGCAATCTGACGGATCAAATTTGTAATGTCCAAAATGGTACATTACTACGAATTCAAGCATCAAAAGGCATCTGCTTTTTTCTATAGCATGATGAGGCAATGAAAGATCGATAACAAGACATCTCGATGTACTGCCATTACGAGTAATTGAGGTTATAGCATACTTGAATTGATTTTTGATTTGTTGAAAATGGGTGTGCTTTGCTTGGTGCCACCAACTACCTCCCAAGCAAGTTGATTTCTAATTGTTCACTATAGCCACTAGTGCTGAGTAATGGCAAAAACAATTTTTTTTCCTTGTTTTGCCACAGCTTCAATGTTTACCGGTAAATACTGTAGCCTATTGAATTTCGATGGCCAATTTCAGAAAGCTGCAACGTGCATTGGTACTCTATCATCAATCTCTCGCTGTTACATAACCTCGCCACATTCACATGAATTAAGAAGACCGACATTGGCAGGTCTCAGGATGTAAACTGATGTGGCTCAACTCTCACGGCTACAATGGCTCTTGAAATTGACCATCATTATAAGGATGCTATGCTTGTGAATCTTGTTTAATAAAAGCCCGAGAAAAGCCATGTTCACATAATAAAACCAACACCAGGCACAATGTCGAATGTAACTGAAGTCCCTATATTATAGTACAACATTGCACAGAAACTTTGATTTCCACCTCCCAGCTACACATGAAAAACCAATAATCCCTGATTTTGCTTCTTCATCTCTTTCTTTTCTTTTTACTATTATACCAAGATGAAACTTGATTCAAAATTGCTATTGTCGTTCAGCTTAACGGCAGGACACCTCATACAGTCCAGTTTAGGCTTTTCCATGTCTATTATGGGAAAAGCTGACGCCTGGCGCGGCAGTTTTTCAGTGATTCAGTGGCATGATGGCGCAAGAAATGTAAATGTGATGCTAGCAGTCCAAAACAAAGATGGTACACTTTCTCCAGTTGGTCAAACAACGTTTAATGTCGCTCCTTACGGAACCACTATCATCGACATCAATCGAGATACGCCTGTTGGTCGAAATTACTTTTACATAGCTGAAGATATGATTGATCCTAGCAATTACACATCAGTAGGGCCCTTTGCTATTTATGAAGCTAATGGCGATACCCATCCCACAAACTCTGTCGTTGCTAGTGCCACTGAGCGATTTCTAACTGATGTACGACCCACTGCTACTAGTTCTCAATCCTCCACAGTGACTGGTATCCGAAGTCAATCCACCTATACTCCAACCGGTGATAGCTCCAAAAACGACAGCAATAATATGAATGATAGGGCCCAAAACACCGTTATTAGTGTGGTTCAAATCGTTGGCATTGCCATTGGTTGCGTTGGTGCTGTTATTCTTGGTGCTATCGTTTATGCGGTATAGTAATCTTGAAGGTTATGTGTCTTGTTGCATAGTTGATGGCTAATGCTGATGTTATATAGTGCTGCTTCAGACAGCGACCCAAAAGTCCACTTAAAGTGACATACCCCAATGGTCCTTACGGTCCAAACCAGCAGATGGGCGCACCTGCTCCCATAATAACTCCTGTAGCAAAGAAGCAATCCATCAAAAAGCCAGTTGTATCAAAAATTGATAGTGATTCCACCGTCGTGAGCTCAATAGCTTCACCTAAAACGCAAGAGAACACTACTATCACTATGAATAATGACTTATCATACACTCATGAGATGACACATCAACCTCCTCTTCCAACTGCAATGACACATCAGCAAGCATACCCTTATTACGGCAACGAAATGTATTACGGAAACCAGCAAATGGCATACCCCAGCCAGGACACCATGTCCATCCCAACACACTTCTCACATCCAGCATCGCCCGCCTCAACCTCATTTGCCTACATGCAACAGCAGCAAATGTATCCTCCACAAATGCAAACTGCTAACCACTGGAACTATACAGCGTTTCCACCACCTACTTCATTTGACTACAGCCCCAAGCCAGACACGAATGATATGGATAGCAAAACGGAACAGGTACTAATGACAGCTGCCACTGCTACAAAAACAGAGCTTGCTGCTGCTACAAAAACAGAACAGGCAGAGCCTACCTTAGCACAGAAATTTGAAACGTCAAGCGAGCATGCAGATGTTCATCAAGTAGAGCTTCCAGACACTGCGAGTTTATTCCAAAAACCAAATGATAACACGACTCCCATTGTTCAGAAGCCCAATACTCGCTCTTCTTTCCAATAACTAAACTAATAAAATGTATAAAATAGAGGATACAATAGCAGTACCTACTTGATCCGCTTCTTTTAGACCTGTAAAAATACTCAGGTGTCATAACGCCCCCTCGAGTACATCATTTACATGATTTTCAGGAGCGTGTATACATAAACCAGTTGTCCATCTACTTTCGCTGGTGATTAATATGCCATTTGTCTGTTGGAATTCCCTGGTGACATGAGATCTGGTGACCCTTACGCTTTAATCGAAGGAGATTTGCATATATATTATTATTATTGCCTTTAGAAAAGCAAGCTACGGTACTTTTGGCTCGCAATTCTCTATTATAGTAGCTTCAAAACCACCGATTACTTCGATAATAAATCATCGCCAAACTTTTTGAAGCTTCGCATTACATTTGTCCCAGATTGGACAAATTTTGTCTAAGATCGACTTGATTCTACTATCTTGGAAGATTCGACTATATAAATTGTGATGATCATCCTATACTTTCTAATGGTATTTTCCCCTACAAAAAATACTTTCTAATGGTTTTTTTCGATTACTTTTTGAGGCGCATCCAATGGTGTTTATTAAGATAGATGTTTAGAACAAAGTTATTAATAAATTCTTGAAAATACGAGATAAGGTTTCTGGCCAAGATGTCAATATTGTTGTATTCAAAGATACAGTATTAACAAATTAAGATAGATTTCAAAAAAGGAAGACTATAAAAAGTAACCAGATACGAAAACTTCTAAGATTTATTAACTGATTCAAACACATCCTATTTATAAGAGATCATTACTGATGAATCATCAATCTATCTTGTTGTTTTAACTGAGTCAATACATCGTATCATGTTTATCTAATATCAGTCAATTGAAGAATCCGATTCGTTCAATCAGCCATGATGATACGATCTGTAGCCATCATTACCCTTCACTATCAGAGACCATCATAATCGATTATATGATTCACTTCTGTGTCGAACCTAATGTCCTAATGTAGACAGTGAGAAACAATGTAAATCATGATCCGACTCTTGCTGAGTTACTGAATGTCCGCAACCGCTACAGACTCAACAAATATCCTGCATATGAAAACCTCAAAAAAGTAATTTCAGAGGTTGCTTTGAATTGAGGGGGTCATTTTGATTCAATGTGTGCTATAGTAAAAATCTTCATTTTGTAGGTCAAAAACGCGATCGTTTGATCTTCAATGAAATCCATGAGGTACCCCTCAAGGTCTGAAGCCGATTTTCGACGATCTCAAAGAAGTTTAGAAATGGTGTTCGTAGGAAAGTGCTAGTTGAGAGCAATTGTTTGGTACCATTCTGGCGGGCTGAAACGATTTTTTGGCGCGAGAAATCACGGTTCAAATGCATCCAGATTTCGCTGGGGTTTGCATACTTTTGAGCAGTAAAAGGGGACGCAAGGATACTGTATACCTGTATATGATTTGTTTCTCTTATTACAAACGTGAGTCACTGCACAACAATCATATCCACACATATGAAACGTTCTAGTGTAATAACACAAGGTAGAAAAGCCAGTAATAACAGAAAAATAGACGAAATTCACACAGTTTCAAAAAAAAATGGACCAAGGCAATGGGTAGTGGGAGGTTTCCCGCTTTGATAGGTTCACACAAAAGCAATGAAAAGGTACAGAACTACCAAAAGTGTTGAGGCTTTTGTTTAATAAAATAAAGTAAACTGATTATATATCAAATTTGGCAGGCACTATGTGCCATTCATTCTAGAGCAAGCATCAGTACACACACTAATGAGGCCAGCAAATGAAGACAGCTCAATCAGTGGAATTGCAGTACACAAAGAGATTGGAATAACATGCAGTATTTTCTTTTTATATATTGAATAATCAAGCAATTGATATCATTTATATAGGTTGCACATAAACCCAGAATCTGGTATCATCGCTCAAGTACTTCTTGTCGCTTTCGAGTTGAGCTTTGATCCAATAAACACCATCCTTGTAGTTTTGAATATCTTGAGTGTGGGGATTGTTGATACCAGTTTGGCCATTTCTGTGGCCGGCAAACCACTTGTCCAAACCAAAGTGAGCTTGGGATGCCTGTCTTGATTTAATGTCCTTGGCCAAGTTGGTATTGAGTACGGCACCCTTGTTATAATCTGATGGACCATAACGCTTAAATTCAGAAACAGAGGTACGCAACATGAACCAGCCTTGCTTGAAGATACCAAAATTGGCAGAGTCTTGAGTTTTACCGTCACCGTACACATACTTTGTGGTCATGTCTTCGGTTTCAAGCATAGCAATAGCAAGCTCCAAAGTGGTACCACCGTTTTTCAAGATTTCCTTCTTTCTCTTGCTCAGACCAGGCACAGTATAATGGCCATTATCGGCGGCCAAGACAGTAGCAATGATAGCAAAGAGAACAAAAAAGCTGGTGAAGATGTTGAGCTGCATCTTGAATAGAGATGAGATGATGGAGATGAAAGAGAGCCACTGAAATATCTGTCAGTTTATATTGTAAAAATGCCTGCTTATATAAGCTGCCGCTTCCATGGCTTGATGGCAGCCAACGTTGCACTATTTCTATGTATGCATTGCTCTATCTAAGGCAAGCATATGTAAGATTACTTTGTGCATATCCCAAAAGCCAAGTGTGACCCTAATAATAGTAAATTAATATATGATATTAACACTCTATTGAATGGGATCGAGCTCTTTTTTTAGAGCGGGAAAATCAGTGAAACCCGCCAATGGTACCTAGGCCTTGGATCCACTCTCGTACAGCATATTGCATGTAAACCACATGTGAATTCTTTACCATTTGCAAGCTATTAGCCAATGCTGGGTCTCGCAAATATCAGTAAGATTCTAATATTAACTGAAGTGATGGCATAGATGGTGGGAGTACATCCTAGCATTCTCATACCAAATTGTATGTTTCCGACTATTTGCACAAGCATTTTCGGCCCACACGCCTATACTTGATTCTAACCCATGTCACTCAAGTGCTGCTCCTCGGGATTGTGAAATGCATTTTAATTTAGTTTTGAATACGAAATCCTTTTGCACGACCTCCAATAACAAAACATGGCTACAAAAATAAACAAGATAGCCTTAGGCATTTTAAGAGTGTGCGAGCAAATTTGTTTGAGAAGATTTTTTGATAGAACATGAAAGAACTGCATGGCGTACTTCAATGATATAAGCCCTTGCCATTAACATTTGTGGGCTATACGATTAGCAAATTTGATTGAGATGTAAATAGGTTGCTTGTCATCAGGTATGCTTACATAAGATTAGTCGCTAATCCAACCATGATTCAAAACATTTGTATGCAGCAGCAGTCAGGGAGAGCAACAAGCTAGCTTTTAAAAAAAAATTCTTTTGGTAAATAATGTATTTTTCGCCTCTTTCACTCCTGCTACAACTTGTAAATCATCATGGGTGACGCTGGCTTCTTCAAGGTAATACAACTGCTGCTGCTCGTGGTCAACACCTCCACTCACCGTACTGTTCAATTTAGGGTACAAGTGCTGATCAAGACAGTCGTTTCAGTAATAAAGAAAAGAAGTTACTCAAATCCATGAGTTTTCCTCCAGAATTCGATCAAAAGGTAAGGCAAAGAGAACTTATTGCGTAGCACCATGTCATCTCATTTATCACCACAACATGGCTCCAGGTGGATATGAAAAAAGTCAACTTGGATGTTATTAAACCTTGGATAAGTAATAGAATTACAGAGCTTCTTGGATTTGAAGATGAAGTGGTGATTGATTACACTTGCAGTCTGCTTGAAGAAAAGGTATGTATTGCGCAAAGGCGCTTCTCCATAGAGTGGCCGCTCAGCCTGTTTTTTTTTTCTCTCATCCAGGACCAAGATCCAAAGCGAATGCAAATCAACCTCACTGGATTTCTGGAAAGCAAAACTCAAGCATTTTTAAGCGAGCTGTGGAACCTATTATTAAGCGCACAAAATTCTGTAGGTGGAATCCCAACAGAATTCATCGAGCAAAAGAAGCAAGAACTGCGTCGAAAGCAAACACAGGAGGACGAGCGAAGAAATCAACGCGATTCAGTCATGGACACCATCCGTCAAAAGAAAACGGAAGAGTTTGATGCATTGCAAGAAGCCAAAAAAAGAAGTTCTCGCTTTGTAAGTGTGTCATTAAGCGTGTGCTGGTGGGGTAAATGTGTTTATTGACTATTGTATAAATAGGATGATCGAGGTAAAGATGATAGAAGATACAGCCGATCGCCTCCTCCACGTCGCAGATACAGATCCAGATCCAGATCCAGATCACCTTCACGTAGCAGCAGACATCATTATCGTGATGATTACTACCATAGTCGTCGAGAGCGTGATGATGACAGACATGGAAGCAGAAGAAGAAGAGAAAGAAGGAGAAACAGCAAAAGTAGAAGCAGAAGTAGAAGTCCAGACTACAGATCAAACTAGTCTTCGTCAATGATCCATTGTCCACTGGGTTGTTTGTGGATTTGCTCCAGTATCTCTTTCTTTTCTGCGCCTCGTTGAATGTATGGCTTCAGTCCCTTTCCAAAGTTGGTCATGCATAGAATAGCCAGAATAGCCGTTGCCTATGATACAATCCATGTAAATAAATTTGTTGCTTCGATTGATGCTACATTTCACTTACCACAGCAATGATCATACCGAGAATGACTGTCCTGACAAGTTAGCTTCAAGGAATAATATACAGTACATTCATGCTGCACTTACCAAAGCAGATCCAAGTGTACCAGTAATCTTTGCCCGTGGTTGCCTCTATCGCAATCAGGACCAATTGGAAAACAATACACAGTTGAAATATAACGAAAATAACAACCTTGACAGAGCTCTCACTTGCCACCTATTTACAGTAAGTATACATGTGCTACTCTCCTTGATTTGTTCCGATAGACTTACAGCTGCTCGTCCGAAAAAGAGCATAGGCAGCATGAGGATAGTGATCACAACAAATACATATGTTGTCCACGAGCTAAAGCCGCTCTTGAGTGCAAATTGGATCAAGTAAAATACTGAGACCAAAAACTCGATAAAGATGTCGATTTTGAGTGCCAATACAAACAACTGCATAGTTCTGTACATCCCTATAGAGTATTGTCAGCGGAAGCAGCTAGGTACGTATGAGTCCTCCAGCTTACGTTGTATCGCTAAATCAGCACCAATCTTCTTGTAAATGACCCATCCAAATTCTCGGACCACAGCGTACGAGAGATAGGCAAATAGGATAGCGTACAAGCCCACACAGATGGACAAAGCAATTTCCACATAGAAGGCTGTTTGTATTGGTGTAGTAATGATGGGAATTGAGTGTTTCACCTTGATATCAGTCAGTATTTTCAGCCATCGTTTTCCATCAATGACCTCCAATGCACCAAGGATGGCACAGGCTAAATTCATGACAGCGAGTGCGATGACTTCTGCAGCGTTTTGATAGACTGTCTTGAGGGGAATATGTAAGGGTCGAATCTGTATCGCAGTGTATTACGACTTACTGCATCCAACGACATGCCAACAAACCAAAATTGGAACCCTATGAATGCAATGTTCTCCCACTTGATTCGCCTTAATCTCTCAATGGCATCAGTGATGGCCTCTTGCTCAGCATCATTGAGATCGTAGCTCTGTATCGCATCTGACTCTAATCCTCGGTTGACTTGGGCTGTGTTGTAGTAGGCAATGGTTGCTTGCAGTGCAATGATGGTGATGCCTTGTAAACAGGCGATCATGATGTACAGTTTTGTCCATTTCGATTGATTAATGCGGTCATTCTATCAAGACAGAGTCAGTCTATCAGTGCATCTCATGTCTCGAGTGAGGAATTACAATCTTTGCGAGTGTCACCATTCTGAATGAAAGATTGTTATGTGAGGAGAAGAAGGGGGAGGGTATATAGATTAAACAAAGAGAGAGAGAGAGAGAGAAGAAGAAGAAGAAGAAGAAGAAGAAGAAAGAAAGAGGGACAAGATGAGTGTAAGGGAGGGGGGGGGACCATCATCTCGTAACTTTTTATTTAGCTCCTGATTAAAAAAAGTTTCTCCTGCTGGCGAGGTAAAGAGATCCTTTCTGCGCAACCTTGTGATACAAGCATATTGAACGAAAACAGCATGTCTGTGTAATGTAACATTGCTCTACCGATTCATGGTGAACGGGAATTAAGCTTTCTGTGGCATTGAAACAGAGACTAATAAAGCAATGGCTATTTTGAGCTTGGAAATACAATAATCAATGGTCCATCAACATAGCTCATACGCAACTGTTTCATATCATGGATCATCACTTTGCAAGTAATCAATTATTGTTTATAAGCTATTAATTTATTTATTATTTGCTACACAAAAAAGCAAATCCATTGTTATGATTGCTCTTTTCACTTTTTTTTTTTTTTTCACTGTATGTTTACAAAAGGAGGAAGATCATGGAAAGAATATATAATAGAATGAAATGAATGGAAAAACAAGAAAAAGAGGAAAAAGCAACTTAGATGTTCAAGAACAACTCGGTGTACTTGGGCAAAGGCCACAACTTGTCAGCGACATTGCGTTCCAACTTGTCAGCCAATTCACGAATAGCACCCATCTTGGGGAGGACTTGTTCGCAACAGGCGTTGGCCAATTCAACGATATCATTGACCTTGAGGAGATCCACCATGAGATATTTAAGGGCAGTAATGTCCTTTTGAAGAGTACCGACAATAGGGGTTAATTCGTTCAACAAATCGACTTCGGGAGAGGATTCAACACCAACAGTCTTCATGAAGGAAGCAGCTTCAGCCAAGTTGCGTCTGTACTCGAAAGCAGCAGGCAACACTTGTTGGATGATCATGGTGATCATGGTTTGGGCTTCAATAGTGATATCCTTGGCATATTTCTCCATCAAAATGTGGTAACGAGAGTTCAATTCAGCATCGGAAAAGACACCAACTTCCTTCAACATGTCGACGTTTTCCTTTCTCAAGAGACGCTCGAAAGCAGCAGGACTCTTGGTGATGTTGGCCAAACCACGCTTGGCGGCTTCTTGGACCCACTCGTCAGAGTAGTTGTCACCCTCGAAACGAACAGCCTTGGTCAACTTGATGTACTTACGAATGACTTGAAGTTGCTCATCAACAGAAGCAACGGGCTTGTCACCCTTGAGTTCGTTCAAATCGGCCAAAATTTCAGTCAAAGCCTTGGCAACAGCAGAGTTCAACAAGGTCATGGGGAAAGAAGGAGATTGCTTGGAACCGACAGCACGGAACTCAAACTTGTTACCAGTGAAGGCAAAAGGTGATGTACGGTTACGATCAGTCAAATCACGAGAGATGGGAGGCAAGTTGGCAACCTTCAAATCGAGAACGGTACCCTTGACACGAACGTGTTGGAATTCGAGACCGGCAGCACCGTAGTTGACAGGGCGGTTTTCCTCAACAGCGTCGAGCACTTCGGTCAACTGAGAACCCAAGAAAGCAGAGATGATACCTGGGGGAGCTTCTTGAGCACCAAGACGATGATCGTTGGAGGCAGAGGCAATACCAGCACGCAAGAGATCACCGTGATCCAAGACGGCCTTGAGGGTGGCAACCAAGAAGATCAAGAAACGGTAGTTGGTTTCGGGAGTGCTGGAGGGATCCAACAAGTTGTCGCCCTTATCAGTGGACATACTCCAGTTACAATGCTTACCGGAACCATTGACACCTTGGAAAGGCTTCTCGTGGAACAAGACCTTGAGCTTGTGACGATGAGCAACACGGTGCAAGACATCCATGGTCAACAAGTTGTGATCAACAGCCAAAAGAGCTTCTTCAAAGATGGGGGCAACTTCGAATTGGGCAGGAGCGACTTCATTATGACGAGTCTTGATGGGGACACCCAACTTGGCGAGTTCCAACTCACATTCACTGATGGCAGACAAGACGCGAGTAGGGATCTTACCAAAGTAATGGTCCTCCAATTGTTGATGGCGGGGAGGGAGACCACCAATCAAGGTACGACCAGTGATCTTGAGATCAGGACGAAGAGTATAAAGAGAACGATCAATCAAGAAGTATTCTTGCTCAGTACCGAGGGTGGTGTAGACGAGTTCAGAACGAGAGTCTAGTGATTCACAAATTAAAATTAAAATTTGAACCTTATTATCTCACATCCCCCCCCCCCTTATTTTTAATTTATAGCTTACCGGAATCCTTGGGTTCAATGGCATTGAGCACTTCAAGAGCGACACGTTCCAAAACCTCGGAAGATCTCAAGAGGACGGACTTTTCATCCAAAGCTTCACCGTTGTAGGAGATAAAGACGGAAGGGATATAGAGGACAGAAGTACCGTGAGGACCTTCTTGAATGAACATGGGACTAGATGAAGTTGGGATGTTAATTTCGCCGAATTGTCATAGATCCATGCCAACTGTTTTACCTCTTGGTATCCCAAACAGTATAACCACGAGCTTCAAAAGTACTACGCATACCACCTGAAGGGAAAGATGAAGCATCAGGTTCAGATTGTAATAATTGAGAACCAGAGAAGGTATCAATAGCAGTAACCTTTTTGATTCACGCAACATATATACATTAGATTATGTCAAATCAAACATCAAATCGACAACACTTACAACTTCAGAGCCATCAACAAAGGAAGACTTGAGGGTCAAGAAGGAATCATGCTTTTCAGCAGTAGAATCGTTCAAAGGTTGGAACCAATGAGTAAAGTGAGTGGCACCACGCTCAATGGACCAGACCTTGGCAGCATGAGCAATGGCATCAGCAGTAACCTTGTCAATGGTGCTCTTACCCTTCAAGGTTTGGATGAAGGTCTTGTAAACGGGCTTGGGCAACATCTTGGCCATCTCAGTACGTGTAAAGACATTTTGACCAAAGACCTCGGAAACGGGTTGAACTTGGCCATTCTTTTGAGGGAAAACGACGTTACGAGGACCTCTAGTAAGAGACTCCACGACGGTATTGATACGAGCTTGATGAGCCATGTTGTGAAGTTGCAAAAAAAAAATAAAAAAAAATGTAGAAAAGAAGAAAAACAAGAACAAGATCAGTCGAAATGATTCATGGAATATAAGGAGCAGGAGCAGCAGCGCGAGAAGGCAGGGATGGGGAGATGTCATTGAGCAAGACAAGACCAGTAGATGACTGCTAAAAGCAATATAGATAAGCTCTTGCTATTGTGGGGTTACCAAAGGGTATTATTGGTTTAAAAAACCTTAAATTGCCAACACAACATAATTGTCAGATTCCATTTCTCCCTGTATAACAAGAGTCAATTCTACGATCATCTCCGAAATGATACAGTGATTTGCATGAATAGCGTCTGGTGTCTCGATTTTATTTTACAGATTTATTTATATGACAAAGGAGAATGTAGGAGATACCATGGCCCAGGATGCAACGTTTGATTTGCATTTGCACCGTTCGGTAGTGAGCTATTTTATTAGGTCTTGGTTCCTGGGATTTGATGATCAAAGAGTGGCTCCGATCAGAGATAAGGAATGACTCACATGAACAAAAAGAGATTTGTGCTCTCGTACTAAATAAGGACTCATAGTGTATGTAATGCGCCTGTATATATATTTGTAAATGTGCGATTCCAGTACTCGCTTCTACAGAGATGTGATCTAGCATATAAGAACATTTTGTTCTGATATTTGCATGTTCTATAGGCTTCTTTGGTGCTTTCGGCTAAACGATTAGAAGAGAAAGCAAAGCGAACATGTTTCAAATTTACCATATACAAAAAATCAGCCTATAGTGGATCCTGGGTTTGAGATACTCTTTGTGCTCTCGGATGTTTAGTGCATCATTCAGCAGTAAACAAGATGCATTCGCCTTGTATTACTATGTGCATCTCTACCAGAGCCTTACCTACTATACATGCACGTAAAAAAGAAGAAAAAAAAAGAAGGAAAACGACAGGAAAAAGATCACACCATTTTAATCAAATGTACCTTATGATACACCATTTATTTTATCAAGATGTCCGTCATTTTGATCGCGTCTTTCCTATACGACGATGAACGCAAGATATAAAATATAAGGCATACTGATAAGATAGCGATCCAGCAATGGACTAGCATGGCCTCCCGTAACACATGTGATTTTCAGTACTTGTCTTTGTTATACATGATGTCTTGATTGGTCGCTTAACATCACTTGTGTTCATGAGTCTGTGTGGGCATGTGTGTACCAGCATTTTGAAGAAATATACATCCCAAAAAAAGAGAATTCTATAATCGAGTTGACCAATGGATATATTGCTTACTCAACAGATTTGGTTGACTAGTTCAATTTGACCTAGATTGATTGGTATACATTGCCAAGTGGGCAACGATGGACTAATTTCGTGAATAGATTTTTTTTTTCCTTGCATGAAACTGATCATATCATTGAAGGAAAATCTCTACTTGTAAGAGCCAGGTACTAGTACTTGATACTTGTTGACTCTACCAAACTTTATCCGAATAAGCTATCATTGATTTTATTCACTGATTCTTCTAGTTTTTCTACATGCGAAAATTCCTAGTAGACACCTTTGTCATATGGAGGCTGGCTGAATCAGCACCAGCTTGATGATGGGAGATCCATTCGTAGGCCATCAAGGTTACTAAATGGATACAGTTTGCTTATCATATGCTATTTTAGCTCGAAATGTTTGATTCTGAATACATATTTAAATTCATAATGCAGATGAAAGCTACTCTAATGGTATACAAAGCGGGATAGATTGATTCAACAGTTGCATCTTGTCAAGCATAGCTGTACGCAAACGGGAGTCTTTGTCTCTGCGTATTATTGAATTTGTTAAATCCCAGTATCAAATTTGTTTCCTATGCAATGTATGGTCTTGAAGTCATGAAGGCACTATAACTTTTTGTGAAATCAAGATAAAACAGTATTTATAAGGTACAAGATTCGCTATCGAATGAGCAGGATTAACTCTAGCGGAAAGCCTCCACTAACTATGTATGACCTCTCTTCTTGTGGGGTTTAACGATCACTCAGCGTCCTGTGATACTGTGGTTTAATGCAAAAGTCAACTCAAATCAGGAAACATCCTCAATGATGCCAAAACGACAATCAAGCAGATTAAACATGATTCATATTTGTCGCAATGAATAAAGGAGCTTGGTCTAATTTACCTTGATTGGTTTTCTGTACGAGAGGTATATAAATACTTATTGTCATCCTGTATACAGTACATAGGTATGGCCTTTCTGATCTATATCAATAGCATAAGTTTGCACGCATAATTTTAATTTTTGACATGACAAGGATTTACATGCCTTTAGTGTTTATAGTAAAATATATAAACGAAATCATATACGTTGTAATGTGAGCCTTGTAAGGGCACATTTAAGAAATACTAAGGCCTCAATAGAAGAGAGATGTCTGTAGTATAAAGCATGTACTGTGCATGACAACTGTTGTCAGTGAACCCGTCCAATATAGCATTTTGATAAACAACGTACTGTTTTTCATGGTAGACATTGTCTTCAGTCCATAGTAAGCTTGTACAGGTATGCAATCTACATCGGATGATACCACACCTGATATTTTTTCCACCGTTTATATCCAAACAGGGAGGTATTTTATGATTCTTGAGAATTTTAAAAAGAAACGATATACTAAATATGTATCAATTTAACTGTACCAGTATTCATTGTGTAAATATAGAGTTAATTTTTGTTTGAAGTCTTACTTTACTCTGTAGCATCAGTTCTTGTGGATCTATAGCGTCCAATAATCAGCCCCAGCTGCAGTGAAATCAGGTTTAATGGATTTCACAAAAAAAAATAAAGCAATAGTAAAATACAATAGAAATCAACTGTATTCTATTTACGTATAAAATGAACTCAAAGTCCTGGAATTGAGTAGACAAAAAAAGGATTTATACATTTGCAATTAGCTTGCAAGATTAGCGATGATAGAGAGCAATAGATGCTGCTATTGCGATGTCTGGCAAATGTTGTTGGTGTTTGAATTAAAGTAGTAATCAATGCAAGAGTACTGGCCATAAGGATCGATTTGAGTAGCCTTGGTGGGCTTGGATGAACTATCGTCATAGCATGATTTAATGTAACCTTGACAGTTTAAGGTGTGATGTTTGTTATTAAAGTGAAGAACTATTTAGCTGCGGTATCATGCAGCTATGGCATCAAGACATAGTCGTCATATTTGAATAAAGATAACATCACTTATTATTACAACCATCATGGGTATGATTGAATACATTGTTGTGATCAAAAATGCTTCATTCACATGATGTGCGATATAAGTATGCCTCTTTACTTTAGTATGTTTGAATGGTATTTTGATGCACATAGGAGCGCTTTTTTAATAGATTGAAATAGTATGGATTTGGATGAGTGATATTTGAACGATTTCGGCTTTCAATGAGATTGCTTCTAGTTGATAACTTTATTACATATTTATCCAATTAGTATTATGATTATATTTTTATTATTACAGTAAATGATTATTTATTTGAGGTATATTTCAGATTAAGAAAAATATAAATTTTACATTCGATGATATAATTTGCATATTTTTAACATTTTTAAGTACTGGAATGGCAACAACTGTTCGTCATAATAAGTGACAGATCAATAGTACATCAATTAGTGATAGACCTTCGCTGTTTGAACCCTCTAGCCAATCAGATTGCTTGAAAACTCCGCTGACCTAAAAAAAATTTTGCGAGGGTTTCCCCTTGTTTTGATGTGAGGCAAAATTTTAAGCTCCGCTATATATATATATATAACAATATAGCTGTTACTATCATCAAATTTCCCTCAGGTGCTAGAGCATGCCTTACTTGCACCACCTAGCTTTAAATTCAGGCATTGAGACCCTCAATCATCACTAAAGTAAGTAGCGATAACCAAGTGGAGGCAGCCTATCTATCTCCTAGCCTCGGATAAGTTCTTGTTGAGCTTCAGTGATAGGCACATCCACCACAACGTAAAAAAGTATGCTTCAAAGAAACATAAAAATAATAAAAGAAAGGAGAAAAGAACATACTACTATAGGAATATAATAGTATGTAGGCAAAAAAAAAAAGGGACACTCACACAGAGTGGACCAAAGAAAAGCATATCACAAATGTAACATCAAAGATGTTCAAAACAGCTCGTTGTTGTTGCAACAGAATTGCATACATGAGCAAAGTGCATGGTAATAGTCGAATGTAATGTAACGCAAACACGCACAACTACAAAAGCAATGGTGGTATAAGTTTGCACTACAACATAATGACTAATGTTGTCTCATGTGAAGCCACAGAGGCAACGCAGACAGCAAAAGAAGAAAGCGCAACAAAGTAAACATCATGATAAAATGCATTATCACGAGAAAGGAAGCAATAATACAAACGTTCAAAGAAGCTTTGTATCATTGCGACCAGAGGAAAGAAGATACTTACCACTTACCACAGCCACAGATAGACCAGAAGAGTATAGGCAATCACCGGAGACAGACCAGAGAACGAGCATGCACCAAAGACAGTAGACCAGGAAAAACCAAATTCGCAACAGCAGCAGCAACACCAGCACCATCGAAATACCAGAGAACAAACGACACCAGAGACCAGACAAAGACCAAGAGGCAGACAACAGAGACAGCAGAGACAACAGAAAAGAAATAGCAGCAGCACCCTTGTCAAACAGGCAAAAAAATTATCAAAACATAATAAAAAAATTCGATTAGTACAGGTTTTACGTCTTATATTGCTCATCATCGAATAGTACCTACTTTATTCCACTTCAAAGAGGCAGTATCGAGTACTTTTAACAGTACAAAATTGTGTCATCAGAAGTTAGAGTGTTACTATCAATCAAACGGTTTCCAAAACCACCATGGTTTCATGCTGAACGCGTTTTGCAAAAAAGGGAAAAAAAAACGGGGGAATGGAAAAATGAGAGGGCGTCTTATCCGACGTCACAGCTAGTAGAGTTGAGCACTACTCTCCGCCGCGGCA